AAGACCTGGATAGGTTGCAAGGGTGGGCTAACAAAAACAGGATGCGTTTCAATACGGACAATTGCAGAGTACTGCACTTGGGCAGTAGTAACCAGCAACACACTTATAAGATGGGAAACTCCCTTCTTGAGAGCATGGAGACAGAAAGAGATCTTGGAGTCATCACTGACTCCAAGATCAACATAGGCCGACAATGCGAGGTCATGGTCGGCAGGGCTAACCGGACCCTATCGTGCATCCACAGGTGCATTTCAAGTAGGTCCAAGGAGGTGATCCTCCCCCTCTACGCGACACTGGTCAGGCCACAGTTGGAGTACTGTGTCCAGTTCTGGGCACCCCACTTCAAGAGGGATGTGGACAACACTGAGAGGGTCCAGAGGAGAGCCACCCCCATGATCCGGGGACAGCAGGGCAGACCCTACAACAAGAGGCTACAGGAGACCCTACAACGAGAGGCTACAACCTGTTCAGCCTTCACAAGAGAAGGCTGAGAGGGGACCTTGTGACCGTCTATAAACTCACTAGGGGGGAACAGAAGGGTTTGGGGGAGACCTTGTTTCCCCTAGCGTCCCCCGGGATAACAAGAAATAACAGCCACAAGTTGTTGGAGAGTAGGTTCAGATTAGACATCCGTAGGAACTACTTCACAGTCAGGGCGGCTAGGATCTGGAACCAACTTCCAAGGGAAGTGGTGCTGGCTCCTACCCTGGGGGTCTTTAAGAAGCGGCTCGATGCCTACATGGCTGGGGTCACTTGAGCCCAGTTTCCCTCCTGCCCAGGCAGGGGGGTCGGACTTGAAGATCTACAAGGTCCCTACTTCTATGATGATTCTATGATTCTTTATCTGATCACCCAGGATCTGCCTCTCTTTACTGCCAGTTTGTTTATTTAGGTGCTATGCCAGCACAGTACTGTGTAGCAAAGCCTGTTCAAAGTGATCACTTAAGAGACTGGCAAATGTTGTTTCCTTAACTGGGGAACTCTCCTAATCAAAGTGAAGTAGAAATGCTCTCTGTGTATTTGGAAAAGCCCATTACAATGGAAAACTGCTTACTAAGGATCTCTGAATAAAAGCTTAACTGTACCCTACAGTCTACTTGCAGGCTTTTCCAGCTCCACAGAAAGCACCAGCTATGATTTAAATCATTCCCTAGGAAGTGTCACATAGAAAAGGAGAAGTGCTTCCTAGTGTATCCTTTGATATATAGATCATTCTGTCTTCAGGACAGGATTCAAGGCAGGCTTGGGGGCATATTTGGGCAGTATGCAGCTCTTATGTGCAAAGGCAGCGTATCTTTCCAACTGGAAAGATGGAAATGCCTCCTAACAGACAAGACTATCCTCATTAAGGACAGTGGCAATGCACAGGCTGGCACATTAACCAGTTACCCCTAATGTTCTAATGCAGGGGTTTTCAATCTTTTCCATTTGTGGACCCCTACAAAAATTTTTGAATGGAGGTACATAACCCTTTGAATTGTAAGTGTGGCTATCTGCATACTTCTAATTGATCATGGTCATTTTTGCAGATCCCTTAGACATAATCTGCAAACCCCCAGGGGTCCACAGAGCACAGGTTAAAAACCACTGCTCTAATGCAAAGATCCCACCCCATTAGCACAAGGCATGAGGAGGATAACTATCCTAAAACCTCTTCCCTACCTGCAAGGAGAAATTATGCTTCTGTTTTAGGGTTAGGCACCCATTACCCCCCAGTAACAAATTTCAAAATTAAAAATTATACATGCTTTCCTGAACTTATTTTTGGACAGTTAGCTGCTGCCATCACACCAATGGACAATCAATGACTGGTTCTCAGAGTCCGTAGTCAATCAACTGATTTAAGGATAAAAAAAACACATCAGTTAACCCTTACAACCTCTACTATGGAAGGCAGGGTTGAGCTGCACCTTATGGAATAATTGAAGAAACAATGCACAAGCTTTCATGCACAAGAGCTCCCTTCATCAGATGCTATGAAAGGACATTCAGAGAACAAGCTATCAAGCAGGGCGACTCATTACTTGGACTAGCTTTTTTGATCCCTGTCTCTCTATGGGTTTATTACTTTCTTATTTGTTTGCTTCTCTTAGCACTGCCCCCATTCCCTCTCTTCAGTATTCAATTCACTTTCTCTGCCTGATAGTCTGCTCTCTGCATGTCCTTTCAGATAATCCAGGGAAATGAACTCTTGCTCACAAAAGCTTATGCATTTCTGCTTCAGATAGTTTATAGAGGTACTCCTCTACCCTGCTTTCTGAGTGATTTAGGACTAACATGGCTCTTCACCTACCTCCACTATGATCACTTCAGAGGAACCCTGAAGTTTCAACCATCAGTAAAAACCTTGAGAGCCGCACATCTATGGTGCATGTTATTATTACTTGAAAGTTAGCATACCCCCTTCCCCAAATGCAGTAAGACAACAGATCAGGTGGGCAGGCAGGCATGTTAACTTGTTCAAGTTAGAAAAAAAAATTTTAACAAGTAGGTGACATCAACGATTTCCTTTCAAACATAAACATTTTCATTGTAAACTTAAGGTTGCGCTTATAACAGTGAAGCACTTTGTAACAATAAAACAAGAATAAAAAGGAACTAATCGTTGATCATACAATACCTGGCAGAAGAGGTTTCAAATCCTTTGACATTTTCTAAAAGTATGTATTTTGGCAGTCTTTCTAGCCTATAAGAAATTTCAGTTTAGTGTATTAAGATACAAATCATATTAAATAAACACCACAAATTTGTTTGGCAACAGGAAACAGTTAAGTGATGCAATTTAAAATACATATAGCAGGTTCATTTGGCAGTCTGCCTGTGTGTGTGATAGGTGGTAAATCCAAGAAGTCCATCTCAACTACTGATAGTAGGCATCTATAGACATGCTCCGGGGTGGAGGGTGTTTTAATTAGAGCAGCTCTCGGGATTGAGTCTGCTGAAGCATTCTAATTAGACACTTATTCGACGATCTTTAGTTAAAGTACCCTTGCTACCATTTTAAAATGTGGGGGTGCTGAATAAATGTGACAGCAAATACTCCAGCAGACTTCACAGATTTCATAGACATTAGGGCTGGAAGGGACCTCAAGTCCAGCTCCCTGCCCCAGGGGCAGGACGTCAGTTAGGGTCAAAGGATCCCAGCAAGATAAGCATCCAAACATTTCTTGAATGAATCCAGAGTAGGTGCCTGCACCGCTTCTGGAGGGAGTCTATTCCAGGCCTTGGGGGCTCAGACAGTAAAGAAGTTTTTCTTTATGTCCAGACTAAAACAGTCACGGAGGAGTTTATGACTGTTGGTCCCTGTTATCCCTTGGGGTGTTATGGTGAACAGACGTTCCCCCAGATCCTGATGCACACCCCTGATCAATCAAGTCCGCTTGCTCCAGCACGTTCTAATTAGAATGTGTCGGAGCAAATGTCCCACACGTGTACAGGCACCCAGTGCCACTAGGAAAAGACTAGGTCTTGTCAATTTCAAGACTACTATCAGAAATGTAAAGCCTCAGAGCAAGATAAGGAGCCTTAATGAAGTGTAAATAGCTGTGCAAGCGGTGAGTATGTTCTCCGTAAAAAGATCACAAGCCTTGATGAGATGCAAACAGCTGAGCATACACTGTTCCTGTATGAATCAGCAGTCACTTAATATAGATTAAGCAGTGCTTTAAATATCAAAATCAATGGGATCTGGCAAATGGCTAGTGTCAAGTAAAATGGGGTCATAAGTAGATTCCACTCTTCTTCTCACATTCAATGCCCCAATTTGGTCACATTTGCTCCAGGGCTAGTTTCTGATTTAAGAGCCAAATTAACCCCAAGCATAAACTGTAAATGCTACTTTTATTGATTTAGTGAAATATAACATTGTCATTCAAAAGATAATAAGGCACACTTAAGGCACTCATTCTGTGTGCTGGAAAATTGTAATAAAACAAGTCACGTTACTCATCTCAACATCAAAACTCCCACCAACTTGAGTGAGAGGAGGAACAACAAGTCTAGTGCTCATCTAATTGGTTTTGTTTTAGTAACTTCTTTGTCTTCAGAAAGTTTTTGCTTTCAGACATTTCCCATTATATCTAATTAACTTTCAGAGAAATGTGCTATATATTTGGTTTCAGTGGGGCAAGTCTGAAGCCGAATGGCATCACTGCAAAAAGAAACAAGCCTATTCCATGATCACCATCCCCTGGAGGTGGCCATATCTCCATTTTGCTCTGGCTGATGTCACACATATGAACTTTGTAGTGGTCTCCTAAGCTAGTAAAATAGATATTTACAAATGTGAGAGGAAAAAGGGGGTAAAGGATCTGCATCAGAAAATACACCTGAACTACAGTAACACAAACACTGATAATAAACTGTGGTAATTAGTTAGCAATATATATCATTATTATTTAATAATCATACTTTTATTTAAAATACATATATATTTGAAAGTTTGAGGGATGAGGAATGGAAAATGAGATGCCAGTTCCTACCTGCTACAGGGCAAAATAACTTGTGTCTTGTGTTGACCATGGAATGCAATATCAAGAATCACGTTTAAGTGATGAAACATTTCCCTAACAAACTGCATCAGAATCTGGCTCCACTGAAGCTGGTGGAGTGTCAGCGGTCTTGCATTGGTGTATATAAGAATATCGTCTAACCTGATAAATTTAATACAGGATGCAGACAGAAGTAAGAAATGAAACATTTCAAATGTTACAATCATATGTGTCCTTTAAAGCATTCTAAAAGTGGATGAAGTACTTCAAATGTCTTGAACTAATGTATTGTTTTGATAAGGTTCTTTGGGTGAATTTAATATCTTTTATTACACAAACTAAATAGTTGGAGAACAATTTTTAAGCAAGCTTTCAGGTTCAAAAACCCTTTGTCAGTCTAAGGAAGTTTCAGCAGTTGGTGTGTGCTCTTCCTGGATGGAATGAAAAGTAAAGAAGCCAGAGGCTGGGCTGGTATGCATACAAGACAGGCACTCAGTGAAAATGTAGACTGAGGAGCCAATGGGTGAGAGACAGGCTGGGGAAAGGGGGAAGAGAGAGAAGGGGGATGAATAGTAGAGAAGTACCTGGGAAGTCAGCTGTCAGACAGGTTATAATGTGTCATAAATCCAATGTCTATATTTAGTCCATGATTCTTGCCATCACAAGAAATGCAAAACCCCACCACCCCCACAATCACTACAGCCCACAACAGAGCCATCAGCATTCCTGGATCTTACAGCTGCACCTCCAGAAATGTGATATATCTCATCCAATGCACCAAATGCCCTGATGGAAAATACATAGGTGAGACCAAACAACAACTGCGCACCAGAATGAACGCACACCGGAAATCTATCAAAGACAGGAATACCCAGTGACCTGTGGGGGCACATTTCTCACAAGAAAACCACTCTCTCTCCAATCTCTCAGTCCTGATCCTCAAAGGAAACTTACAAAACACTTCCCAGAGACGAGCCTATGAACTCCACTTCATCCATCAACCTCCCGGACACTAAAAATCATGGACTAAATAGAGACATCGGATTTATGACACATTATAACCTGCCTGACAGCTGACGTCCCAGGTACTTCTCCACTATTCATCCCCCTTCTCTCCCCCCCCACCCAGCCTGTCTCTCACCCATTGACTCCTCAATCTACATTTTCACTGACTGCCTGTCTTGTATGCATACCAGCCCAGCCGCTGGCTTTTTTACTTTTCATTCCACCCAGGAAGAGCACACACCAACTGCTGAAACTTCCTCAGCCTGACAAAGGGTTTTTGAACCTGAAAGCGTGCTTAATAATTGTTTTCCAACTATTTAAGTTGGTCTAATAAAAGATATCAGATTCACCCAAAGAACCTCGTCTGCCTATGTCCTTAAACCAACATGGCTACAACCTACACCCCTGTATTGTTTTGAAGCATTTCACTTTTTGTTACATGTGTGCAGGGACAGGAGACTCATAGGTCCTCCAAATCCCAGTGCTCCGCTCTCCCACTTTCTCCATGGGGGAGGGAGGGAGAGCATATTGGACAGCCTGGAAAGGACCTTTGGACTCTCCATTGAAACCCTATTCCTCCTGGAAGCCCCTGTTTACCTCCCCCCACAACCAGAACCAGGCTCCCCAAACCTCAATCCTTCCCTCTAAGTTTCTACCCAAGGAAGACTGGGAGAGAAAAGATTTGGGGTCTTGGGGCTAAGAAACTGTGATCCTGACAGTGAGGAGTCCCCATTACCATTGCAGACCTCCATACCTCCCACTCCACTTTACCACTTTCCAGGCCTTCACCACCACCAGAGCTGGGCTCATGTCTACTTCTCCACCCTACAAGAAGTTTAGGATATTTGGAGCCAGAGTGTTAGAATCTTGGCAGCAGAAAGATCCTGCCAGCCCCCCACTCCCTCCTAGTGCCCTCCTGCCCCACCCCAATATGTACCTTCTGCAATACTCCCTGGCTGGAGAGCTATGGGTGCCAATTGCTATACTTGAAAACATTTTTTAAATTACTTCTGTCTGAGCCCAGTCAGTTAAAGTAAGACCACCAATTCATGCAAACTTCTCAGAGACTGTGTAAAAATAAAAGCAAACAAAAAAGAAAGAAGAGGCCAAGCCTCCAAGAGACCACCAGACAGTGACTTCCTAAGTTTACCCCAAATTGGAAGAAATCCAGTTTCTATCACAGAGCTCAAATCTAGAGTCACAAACCCATAGTTCAGCCTGAGACTGTACAGCTGCACTCTCAGGAGGCAATATAGCTTGAGGATACCTGCCAGACACAAACACTTAAAATATGTCTATAAAATGAGCAGCGCTGTTCTTCCTTAAGGTAAACACAAACTATGATATGCTTGCAGTAGGTTGTATGGGGTTATGCTCAGACATAGGGCACCAAGAATATTCTGTGGCTAGACTACATGTCCACTGGCTGAAGACCAGTTTCTCCCCACATTCAGCTCTCAAATTCTCCCTGCACTGGGCTTCATATCTTAGCCACTTTCAGCCACACCTAAAGTCGCATTTCACTTGTTTTCTTTATAAGAGGCCAGAAAAGGCAGAATCAGGCAAGAAAGATAGAATTGTGTTATGATACTTAGCATGAAATTTGTGCAAATCACAATGAAGAATGTAAAAAAAAAAACTCCTACATTTTACCACATAGAATGGCATCAATCATTTCCCATTTTAAACTCTAATTCTCTGGGCTTAGTCTCCACTGAAGTTGTCATTCCCAAAACTCATGTGAACACTATCTTTGTAAAACATAACCTGTTGGAGCTGGTAAACTCTGCAGAAACAGCTCCCCTCATTTGTTGTGGTGTCTGTAGAAACTGCTGCTTCATGGGAACAACCTGCCTAAGGGAGATAAAGGAGGTTGAAAGCATGTGGTGGGACTCCCAGATAAAGTCTGTCAGCCAAGCCTAACTCCTTTGCATCATCAAGAGGGAGGTGCGCTCTGGAGTGTCTGAGGGTTTGCTTCTGAAAAGGAAAAAATTCTGTCATATCAATGTTTTATCACTACGGTGACCAGGATGTTTGCACAAGACAGTAACTACTGTTTCCAAAGAAGAGCTTTCCTTTTTCACATTCCCTTGTAAATCCACCTGGAAGATGGAGGAGATGGATGGTAGATGGAGGAGAATCCAGTATTACCTCTCTAATGAGCTATTAACTCAATCCTAAGGTTTCCCCTTTTTAATGTAGTATCATGGAAGGGTGACCTTACAATTATAGTGCATGGAATTTAGGATCTCTGTTCAGTTCCCAGCCTAACCAGAGACTTCCTTTCACAATGGGTTTGGAACAATAACTTAATCTCTTACTTTCAAACCCAATTCATAAAAGGGGGAACATAATATATTTACCTATCATTTCTCTGAGTTACTGATTTTGATTACAAAATAATTTTTGTAGGAACTCTTTCACTATATGTTTATATAGCACCTAACCAATCTCACTGAGGTCTCTAAGTCCTACATAATGCAAATGACTATTCACATTCATACTTTTTTAAGCATATTAAATATGTGTGACTTAGGAAAATGAAAAAGCATTAGAAGACCATGTTGGACAGATCTGTGCCCCTGCCACTGTCCTACCAAGATTTCAGCAAAAACTTGGCTTAATACAGCCTCAGCTTCTAGCAGGTTTCCCTTGCTCTTCAGCTCTTTCTCCTTCTCTTTAGTTTAACAAGGTATCAGCTTCTAAACAGTTTCCCCGCTTTTCTCTCCCTTCCTGAAATGTGATCAGGCTTAGTTGGACTTACTAAAACATATAATAAGCAGGGAGTTTCAAGGCCCTTTCAAATCACATCTGGATGATAAGTAAAGTAACATATTTTCCAGGAAGATTGGAAAAGAGGTTCAACAATAAGGGGACAACCAATTGGAACATATACCAAAGAAGTGAAACAGGGTACCCTGCATGTGTCTATGTTAGAATTTGACTGGCTCTTATAGTTATTCAATGTAGAAAAATGGTAAAAATATATAACTGTACTATCACACTTTGGACATGCAAACCCTTGTGCATTTCCCATCTGCCAGGTGGTTTAACTGTCCAGCTGAGAGTGATTAAAAGCTCTCTAATTAAATTCACTGTGTCATTTCTTTAAGCTCAATATGTACTGTGTGCAGCAAACCAGGAACCAAGCTGAACTGTGTGGGGCTTGGGTTCAGCCAACTCAGCCACCCACCGTAGACCATCCTTTTGAGAATTTCATTCATATTTTGATGAAGAGCTGCAAAATACTGTATTTTCTCACATACAACTTGTACCTTTTTTTCTACAATTCAACTGCTGAAAAGTAGGGTATACTTTATAAGTGAAGAAATATGGGTATAGCAATATGCCTGTGCTGGGAAAAAGTAATGATGCAGTGTTTCTGGTGGGATTCTCAAGGCGCTGGATACGGACACTTTCTCTTTCTTCCTGGCAGAGGTCCCCATGCAGAAACTATTACTCAGTTACTTACTACTACTTACCAATATTTTCAAGGAAAAGCCCTCCTTTCTTCATTCTGCCTTTCAAAAACAAAGTGTGTATCTTACTTGGGGACATGTTGTATGCAAGAAAGTATGGTATTTAGTAACTTGGTGCTGATTTTACTCACTACCATCAAAAAGATAAAGAACCATTCGGTGGTCATGAGTTTCATGTTAGATGAATGTTTCCATTTTCTACCCTGAAAAAGGTGGGGACGGGGGGGGAAGAGGAGAGGGAGTCTATGTTTGCTGCTCTGTATGTTCCAATGCAGCTTTACTGTGTGACCTTAAACAAGTCATTTAGTTTTGCTGTGCCTCAGCTCCCCAACTGTAAAATGGGGATGAGACCACTTACCCATTAGTCAGACTTTTTGGATATTACTGATATTAGTACGCAGATCAGCAGTTCTCAACTATGAGAACCTGCCAGGGGGGCTGCAATGCTGCCAGTGCTACAGGGTGAAATTACCTCACACACCTGTTTTCAGGAGGCATATCAGAGCCAAACTGACAAGCAGCTGCAGCAAAAAGGCATGCCTACCCTCATTACATTATATAGTACAGGCTGGGAACTGGCTGGCTAAGCAGCAGCTGTGCAGAACAGGACCTGGGGGTTACAGTGGACAGTAAGCTGAACATGAGCCAACTGTGTGCCCTTGCTGCCAAGAAGGCTAATGGCCTACTAGGCTGCGTTAGTGGGAACACTGCCAGCAGATCAAGGCAAGTGATTCTTCCCCTCTATTCAGCACTGGTGAGGTCACATCTGGAGTACTGTGTTCAGTTTGGGGACCCCAAATACAGACAGAATGTGGACAAATTGGAGACAGTCCAGCAGAGGGCAACCAAAATGGTTAGGGGACTGGGGCACATGACTTATGAGAAGCTAAGGGAACCGGGCTTATTCAGTCTGGAGAAAAAGACTGAAGTGGGATTTAATAGCAGGTCTTCAGCTACCTAAATGGTGGTTCCAAAGAAGATGAAGCTAAACTGTTCTCAGTCATGGCAGATGACAGAACAAGGAGCAATGGTCTCAAGTTGCAGCAAGGGAAGCTTAGGTTAGATATTAGGAAGAACTTTCTCACCGTGAGCATAGTAAAGCACTGTAACAGGTTATCCAGAGAGGTTGGCAAATCTCCATCCTTGAAGGTTTTTAAGGCCCAGCTAGACAAAAGCCTTGGCTAGAATGATATAGTTGGAGATCGTCCTGATTTTGAACTGGGGGTTGAATTAGATGGCCTCCTGAGGTCCCTTCCAATTCTAATTTTCTGCGATTCTATGCCATTTCTGCTGCAGCTGTTCCCAGTTTGGCTCCACCATGTCTCCTGAAAATGGAAGTGCATGGGGCAGTTCTGCCTAATGGTAGGGGCAGCCTGAAGAGAGATGCCACTGCCACCAGATAGAACAGCCTGCACATCTGTTTTCAGGAAACACATTGAAGCTAAACTAGGAATGGCTCCAGCAGAAATGGTGCGCCTGCCTGCATAATGTAGCCACTTGTCAGTTTGGCTCTGACGTACCTCCTCAAAACAGAGCTGTGTGGGAGACTTTCATCTGCCCTGCACACCTCGGTTTCTGGGAGGCACCCTGAAGGATCAAACCAGGAAGGGCTGTGGCAAGAGTGTGCACTTTCTGATCTGGTTCTGCAGGGTGTGAGCCACATAGTGGGTGAATATACTGTATTTAGAATGATCTAACCAATTACAAATGATCATAACAGAAATATGCAAAATATTAATTCATAACAAAAACATAATGTTTATATTACAATATGCATAAATCAGTTGTTTGAAAATGGAGTGCTGCTAAATTTTGAAAAGATTTGGAAGGAGGTTTTGAGTCTAAAAAGGTTGAGAATCACTAAGAATAACACATGGGGGTTCAGACTACCCAGTACACTATGTTCCATCATAAGACAATGCAGTAGGCATATATGTTGCAGGACATATGAATGTCAGCCCCAGGCAAAGTGACACAATATCAGGGTCAGAGAATACGAAATAAAATAAGTTCCCTTAACTGATGCTGCCTTGACATGCCAAGAACTTTCAAACTACTGGGAAAATTTTGACATAGAGACCTCTGCAACAGCCAGGATCCCTGGGATCACCTCCTTGTCTGACCAGGATTTTCTCTGGAAAAAAGATGAAGAGCATGATCTCTCAAGAGCAACAGAATTTTTATAAGATTTCTGACTGCCCAAAATCTCAAAATCGCTGCTCCTCCTCTGCCAGTAAGATTATCAAATAGAAGAGGTCATGAGCAGTCTGTCTCAACCTCCTGAATAAGCAGGATCCTCAAGGAATGGTTAATGGATGGCTGATCCCACACCATGGCAACACTTAAATCCTTAGGTTTGTATCCAGTTCTATTCAGCAATAGGGATTTCACAAGAGATTTCACTAACTCTCTAAATGAGTTAGTTTCTAAGGTACCCCCGTGCTGCCTTCTGCCTGACTTCAGGCTAAGATGGCTGACTACCTCTACAGAGACATATGAAAGAGATAAAAATGAAACACAGAAGACTAAAACAATGCTAAGTGTTTTAGTGCAATAAGTAAATGTGTTAGTATAATAGTAAATGTGTTCATACAGTGGAAACTGCATGGGTTAGGTTCCTTACCCCTCTGCAAAAATAAGGTATAGGGCTGTCAGATAATTAAAAAATGTGATTGTGATTAGTTGCACAATTTTAAAAAATAGTTGCAATTCATTGCAATTTTAATTGCACCACTAAAAACTGAAAATAATGCAAAATTATGCAGGTACTTAGTATGGGGGGGGGGGCGGGGGTTACAGGGTTGAGGGGGATGACGACTTGTGAAGCACTGCCACTGCTGCTCTGCTGGGTAGCCCAGAGGTGGTGGTGATGGTGTGGGTTCCAGAACCAGACGTGATAATTGCATTAAAAAAATTAACACAAGAACCAATTGACAGCCCTAATAAGGTCTTGTGAAGTACCTGGGGTATACAGAGCTGCCATAAACAGTTGTGCCACACCACTGAGGTAGTCCAGTTGTTAGCTGGGGCTTTTACTATTTCAGAGGGCAGAGCTGTGTGAGACCACTGCTGAATTCCTGCTGAGATGGAAGCAACACCCTTTGAAGTAAAAACCCCACCAAACCTGCGAGCAGCGTAATTTAGCAACCTGCTGTGAACTCAACGGGCTGCAAACCACCCAGATATAAATGAACTGTATTCTACCGCATTTACAACTTATATAAAATCATACAAAAACAACTACATGAACACAAGGCACATATCTGTATAATTCGATATAGACAGTTTTCCTTCAAATAATATTTGTAACTGCATAATAAACTAAAAAGATTGAGAAGGGCTCCACTAGAAAGTAAATTTATACCTTGGGAGAATGTCAAGGATATAAATAAAACTCTTTGTCCTTGGATCAGATACATCACCTTGCAGGCCAATTCTAAGAGAAAATAAAAATAAAGAAATAAAATACAGGTACTGAATACAATGATCAGCTTGTCTTCTCAGAGTTTCTTACAAAACATAAGCCTTTTCCTCTAGACCAATATGGCTACAACCTGGATACCTTACAAAACATAAAACATCTTTGATTAGTGCTTTTTCAAAGTTCTGTACAGGTATCAAAGGGTATGTACAAACACGTATTTTAGCTTCCTTGAGAGGGGAGTGAGAGCTGCTGCTTAGGAGCATGCAGCAGCAACTATATATCTGCATGATCCTGCAGTGATACAAGCTAACTAAATCTATTTAACCCTGAACAAGGCAGGGTCATCACTGGAGTGGTTTTGTTACACTTGTATAAACTACAGAATCATGCAGACGTAACAGCTACATGGTAACAGCTTATCCCAGTGTCCTTTGATATCAAAACAAATGTTATGTCTGCCTGTACACAAGGTCCGTCACCCCGGACCTGCCTTCAGGGTCATAGCCTTATCATCTCTCTAAAAAATGAAAATGCACTCCCAGAGTATGTTAGTGCTCAATCTTTTCAGCACACATAAGGGCAGAAATCCTGCCTGTGGTCTTTCTGTTCTAAGCCTGGAAGTAACTCTAACAGTCCTCCTGCAGTGACAGAGATTATTAGCATCTGACCATTAGCACAGAGAGGGAGCTCTCTTAAAAGGGAGACCCTCCAAATTTTACTTTTAGAACTAAAGTACAGGATGTAAGATAAGTGGGACATCAAGCTTAATAATTCAGCCAAAATTACTTAGTATAACCACATGCCTGACTCACTATCATTCTTGAATGCTGGTAAATACAGAACTAAATATTATAATCTCTGCTTTGTGAAAAGCAGTAGCTCTCAGGGAAGATGCAGACAAATATGAATCACATGTTGTATCACTGCTGAAAACTCATTTCTTTTGATCTAATAGTGGTACTTATGACACGCTGTATCACACTGTATTTTCTCCAAAACTGAAAGATTTGTTATACATACCTTGTAAATGGCTGACAGGGAGGACTCATCAAAATCATATCAAAAGATAATCTGTTGAACTCCTTCAGTGTTATGCCCTGCAAGATGAAGAAATATGAACATGGGTATTGAACGGGTACTTTTCATAGACTTGAAATAAGTAAATTACAGGTGCAAAAATGTTCAGGTTGTTTCCCCCATATATAGTTCCAAGGCATGCATCTAGGGGGGTGTAGTGGTGCAGTTGCACCGCACTAATTCCCACTCCACCCAAACTTTAAAACCAACTGCCCTGGAGAGGCAGCACCATTTCTATTCAGGCAGTACAGAGAGAGTCAATACATTTCATAGCTTATTATAATGGATCTGATTCCTGCGAATCTCTCCACAGATGTTAACAACCCACTCTCCTTTTTAAGGGTCTTGATCTTCCTTTAATCAAGCTAGTCTTTTTTCTGCAATCCTGCTGCCTGTTAGGTATTTCTGATATTATCTCTCTTCTATTTCACAGCCCTGCACACTGTTGTTAGTTCTAGTTAAAAACCTTTACTTTGGTGTGGTAATATTAATTCAGGTGAGCAGTAACTCAGGTGTGGAAATTATTTACAGGGAAGTGCTGGATGCACTGTCAAGAAGCTCAAGAAAGATAGCTTTTGTTTTACAAATCTGAAGACAAGATGCACATTTAACCATAACAACTGCAGGACTAATAAGAAAAATCTGTGGGCAATTTTTGCCTTGTTTGTTGTGTTTTTTAAACTCAATATATAAACTAGCAAATTAGTACACATTCCAGTTACATTATATTTGTTTATGCTTTATCTTCAATGGGATAATATAGCATGGGGCCACTAGAGTATTAGTAAATCTTCTAGCTTCTTTTTAACCTGAGAAAAAATATTTTGGGCTGTATGTGGTGATGTAATACTCTATCTGCACCCATCCCCACTTTTCAAAATCCTAGATCCACCCATGGTATCAACTTAGTAAACACTTTTTAATTCATCCATTTCTTCTAATAGCTTTTCCCTTCTTTAATGCTTGGCAAATGCTGTGCAGTTAGATCGGTATTTACTACTTTAACAAGGAATTGGCAATGGCAGCAGACACTCACAGTCTTGGGTTTGTTGGTTAATTACCCAGAGCAATAGGGATAGCTCACATTTCTTTCAATGGGTCGCATCAAAACGATGGCTATAATTATTCACTCCTAAATAAAGCACTTTTATTCAGATAGTAAGCGTAGTGGCTAGATAATATTTCAAAACATTATAACTTCATGGGCAAGCATTATTCAAATTCTACAATGCATGTTGTTCTTTCTAGTCATTTGCCTTTATAAGCATCTCAAATATTTGCTTTATTTGAAAATATGACAAGTTCCTTACACAGGACCAAATTCTGATCCTCTCACTAAAGTCTAAGTAAAGGGGTTCACAGAGAAGACCTTTAGGAAAGCTTGGGAGAAAAGAGATTTCACAACCTAGGCCCCAAAATATTAATGCAGATGGTCTGTGGCCACTACAACACCTAGAGGTGCACCAATAAAGAATTTGTGGGCTGAAACAGATGGCCGATTATTAACAAGCCATACTGGCCGATAGCAATCCAATTGCTGGTATGCAGCCGGGCAGCTTGGAGAGCAGTGTCCAGCTGGTAAATCTGTTGGGGGGGGGGAGGGGCGGCAGAGAAGAGGGGGAACAGATCGAGACCCCTGCAGTGAGGGAGGAAGTGGGGCTGGGGTAGGAGCAGGGGGTTGGGCAGGCAGCAGCAGTTCTGGGGGGGGGGCTACAGGGTGGACTATAGCCACCCCAAAATTTGCTGTACTCCCCCCCATAACCCCTCCTTGCAGCACCACAGCCAACCACCCTGAGCACAGCCATGGCCCAGCCCCCACCCCCACTGGAAAGAGCCCAGCACTGCCCCTGGCCCCAGCCTGCAGCGGCAGCCCGCTATCGCCCCTCACACAGATCCAGGGGGCACATGCCCCCCATGACTCCCCCAGGGGTGTGAATAGCAGTGAAATCTGCCCCCCACTCCCCACACCCCCTGGATGAGCGGCTCACAGCTCTGATCCGCACTCCGCTCTGGCTGGGCAGTGCCTACTGCAACCCCAGCCCCAATCCCTCCCTCACCACAGGGGACTCAATCTGACCCCATCCCCCACACGCACACACCCACCTTCCCTACAACAGATTTATCAGCTGGACGCTGCTCTGCAAGCTGCATTTAGCAGCCACATCAGAAAAAACAAAACAATTGCTGATGTCAATTTCTTTTTATCAATGCCACTATGATATGAACCAATGTATCAGTGCATCTCTAACAGCAACCTATAAGTTATTATTACACAGTGATTCTCCACCAGGGTGCTTTGGCACCTTAGGGTGCTGTGAGATCCTTTTATAGATGATGCAAAATATTAAAACTATTAGGCATGAAAATACTGACATGCGATTCACAAAATAAACCCAGAAATTTCAAACAGGAATCCACGGCGTCAGAAATATTCTGACCCGGTGTAGTCTTTTTCAGTTCTCTGCAACAGAAAATTGCTGTATAGTTTTTCCATAGTCAAAAAGCAATTACAAGCTTAGACTTGAAAGTCTCTGGGTTAGGGTTAGAGGGGAGAACAACAAGGGTGACGTCATGGTGGGGGTCTGCTATAGACTACCAGACCAGGAGGACAAGATGGATGAGGCTTTCTTCAAACAGTTAGGGGAAGTTCCCTGATTCTCATGGGAGACTTCAATCACCCTGACATCTGCTGGGAGGGCAATATAGCAGTGCACAGGCAATGCAGGAAATTTCTGGAGAGTGTTGAGGACAACTCCCTGGTGCAAGTGCTGGAGAAGTGAACTAGGGGCCGTGCTCTTCTTGACCAGCTGCTCACAAACAGGGAAGAATTGGTGGGGAATGTAGTAGTGAATGGCAACTGAGGCAGCAGTGACCATGAGATGACTGAGTTCAGGATCCTGAGGAAAGGAAGGATGGAGAGCAGCAGAGTAAGGACCCAGGACTTCAGAAAAGCAGACTGACTCAGGAAACTCATCAGCAGAATCCTCTGAGAAGCCAGTCTAAGGGGAGAAGAGTCCAGGAGAACTGGCTATACTTTAAAGAAACCTTACTGCAGAAACAAACCAGCCCGATGTGCAGAAAGACTAGCAAGTACAGCAGAAGACCAAATTGGCTTAGCAGGGAACTCTTCAGTAAACTAAAACACATAAAGGAAGCTTGTAAGTAGAAACTTGGACAAACAACTAGGGAGGAATATAACAGCATTGCTCACGCATGCAGGGATGAAATCAGGTGCAACTGGAGTTGCAGCTAGCAAGTGATATAAAGGGTAACAAGAGGGGTTTCTGCAAGTATGTCAACAACAAGAGGAAAGTCAGAGAGTGTGGGTCCCTTACTGCATGGGGGAGGCAATCTATTGACAGATGATGAGGAAAAGCCTGAAGTACTCAATGCCTTTCTCACCTCAGTCTTCACAGGCAAGGTCAGCTCCCAAACTACTGCATCTGGCAGCACAGTTTAAGGAGAAGGTGAACAGCGCTCAGTGGTGACAGAACAGGTTAGGGACTATTTAGAGAAGCTGGATGCGTACAAGTCTATGGGGTGGGACACAATGCACCCAAGGGTGCTGAGGGAGTTGGCTGATGTCACTGTAGAGCTGCTGGCCATCATCTTTGAACACTCATGGCAACTGGGAGAGGTCCTGGATGATTGGAAAACAGCAAATATAGTGCCCATCTTTAAGAAAGGGAAGAAGGAGCACTGAGGGAACTACAGACCAGTCAGCCTCATCTCAGTCCTGTGAAAAATCATGGGGCAGATCCTCAAGGAATCCATTTTTAAGCACTTGGAGTAGAAACAGTCATCATGGATTCACCAAGAGCAAGTCAGACTGCACAAGTGCCTTCTATGATGGGATCCATGATCCTTCTACGATCCACAGACGGGCTCTGTAGATGTGGGGAGAGCAATGGACGTGATATACAGTACCTGGACTTTAGCAAGGCTTTTGACAGTCTCCCACAACATTCTAGCAAGCAAGCTAAGCAAGTACGGGTTGGATGAATGGAGTGTAAGGTAGACAAAAAACTGGCTAGATCATAGGACTCAGAGGGTAGTAGTCAATGCTTCGATGTCTAGTTGGCAGCCTGTATCAAGTGGAGCATCCCAGGGGTCAGTCCTGAGGACAGTTTTGTTCAGTATTTTCATGAATTACCTGGAAGACGGGATGAAGTGCACCCTCAGCAAGTTTGCAATTAACACCAAGCTGTGGGTGTGTAGTAGATACACTGGAGAGTAGGGCTAGTATTCAAAGAGACCTTGACAAATCAGAGGATTAGACCAAAAAAAAATCCCATGAGGTTCAATAAGGAGAACTGCAAAGTCTTGCACTTAGGATGGAACAGTCCTGTGCACCAGTACAGGCTGGGAACCACCTGGCTAAGGATGTGGACAAATTGGGAAGAGTCCAGTGGAGGACAACAAAAATGGTTAGGAGGCTGGGGTACATGACTTAGGAGGAGAAGATGAGGGAAGTGGGCTAATTTAGTCTGGAAAAGAGAAGACTGAGTGGGGATTTAATAACAGTCATCAACTATCTGAAGTGTGGTTCCAAAGAAGACAGAGCTAGATTGTTCTCAGTTATAGCAGATGACAGAACAATGGTCTCAAGGTACGCAAGGGAAGTTTAGGATAGATATTAGGAAAAGTTAGCCTCTCACTGAAACAGGTTACCCAGAGAGGTTGTAGACTCTCCATTCTTGGAGTTTTTTAAGACTCAGTTAGACAAAGCGTTGGCTGGGATGATCTAGGTTGGGATGGCCTTGCTTTGATCAGGAGCTGGATTAGATGACCTCTTGAGGTCTCTTCCAACCCTAACTTTCTATGACCCTGTGATTTTCTGAGAGGTGTCTTCAATCTAATGAGGCTGAGAACCAGTGCTATCAGGAAGATGGTACCATGGTCCTTTTGACCAGAAGACTTGCCCCATTCTGGAACAAACGTTACCATACTAAGAAAGACTGTGCTGCTCTACATTCTGCAAAGGATGCACAGTCCCCAAGGGCTGTTTTTCCTATGGCTTCCCTGCCTTGTTCAACAAAAGGATGTTGATGGTAATGGCATTACTTTGTTGTTTCTCTACCATGATGTGTTATAAATGTTTTAGAAAAAATGGGATACTATAAAAGTATTTTCCCCAAAGTTGGGGTGAAGCTATAGTTCTAAGTGAAAGAAAGATGTTTGTAAACCACCACCAGATTTAAGACTGTATGTTTAAGTAGCACTTATAAGATACTTCAGTTCCAGTTCACCCAGGCATACCACTACAAACAGAAAATCTCTTTCCATGTCACATAGTATAAGTTAACTCTTGGGAAACCCTAACAGGAAGGGTTTTATTATTATGCTGAAGATGTTTCTTCCTCACAGATATGCTGTAAACAGTTTCCTGTATTCTGGTCCTTTTTTGTAAAATCATAAGAAAACTGATTTTATAGTTTTCAACTGTACACCCCAAAAGAGATTCAATCCTTTTTTGGAACAAATTCCATGCAACAGATTCATTACCAGTGAAAGAAAACTGGAGGCACTTCGTGGGTGAGCTATATAACAAAATTCCATAACAGGGCAAGAAAAATACTGCCATTTCCCCCCAGTGCTTCAGGAAGACCTTATAGACTTCAGCCTTCCCACATGCCATGAACGGTAGAGAAAGTAATTCCTCTTCTTCCTCCCTCCCCCATCTAAGAACCTCTGAGCTGACACTAGTCAGCTAATACCACGTGCTAAATAAGCAGCTAACCTTTAGTCACCTACTCTGCTTTTTCTTTAAACTGGTACATACCAATAGCTCAGAATTGTTTATCAAGCCATAAAGCTGTAAAAGAAGATTAAAAAGCACTCTGTAATTTCTAACCACTCTGAAGAAGACAGAAAATAATGGAAAGCACATGGTAATTTTGCATTCTCCTGGCATATTATAAAAACTAAAAAAATTGCCAATTTTGTTGCAACAAACTCATAAAACATCAAGCCTTTTTATAGGCATTGAATTGATTTTCAAGTTTCTTTTTTTTCAGTGACGTTTAAGAAGGAAGAGAACTACTATGCTGCCTGATCTATCTACTCCCCTAACAATGCAGTACTGTCCTCCACAGTATATTCTCTAATACTTTATCCAGCCCAGTTCTGAAAATGGCCCCTTACTGATTTAACAAAATCCTTATAATGTATTTCAAAAGTATAATAGTTCTATTTTAAAATATTAACATAATCATTTATGAGTCACTTTTCTTTTGGGGCTGGTGAGCATTCTCCTTGTTTGTCCACATCCCCTTTATAATTCAGCATTGTTGACACTCAGGGCATTTTTACACATGCACACATTGCAGCACTGGGCGCTTTGAAAAGCAGCCGGTGTTGCAATGCATGCAGTTATATAAGTGGCAACATGCGCATCGGCGCTGAGAAAATGATGGCAGCTTGCTTTTGAAAAATCCTCTGAGGTGCTTTAATTTAAAAGTGCCCCGCTGCCATTTTCTCCAGGCTGACGCACATTTCACTGCTTATACAATTGCACACAGCGCAGCGCAGTTCATTTAAGTTCACATGTGGAGTAGACTCGATTAATCAAGTCTGCTCTGAAGCAGTGGATCTCTGGCACATTACTGGAAAAAAAGTATGTGTATAAATGCCCTCAGAGAAAAAACAAATCTAGAGGTGCACTGATACATCGGTCAATATCAGATTGGTACCGATATAAAGAAAATTGTCTATATCGGATATTGGCCCAATGGGGCCAATAATTTGGCTGATAAATGCCCATGCTGCAGTGAAATTTGGGGTGGATGCAGCCTATTCCCAGTGCCGCCAAAGTCCGCTCCAAGCCCAGCCCCCAGTAAGAAAAGTCCTGCACAGTGCCAGCTCCGGCTCCACCCCGTGGCTGCAACCTGCCCTGTGCCATGCAGATCCAGTGGCACATGCCCCTCTGCCCTCCTGGGGTGCAAGCAGAAGCAGGAGAGGAGCTGCCCCCAGTCCACAAGCCGTGGCTCTGTCCCACACCACCCCTCCCCACTCCCGGCTGGGCAGTGCCTGCCCCTGCCCTCCTCCTCACCACAGGGGGCATTGATCTGCCCTCCCATGCCCCTTCCCTTCCCCACTCCCTTCCACCACAACAGACTTACCACACAATGGCAGCTGTATCGGATATCAGATCAGTATTGGCCGATATGCCTCCTTAAATATCGGCTATCGGTATTGGCCCCCCAAATCTCTATCAGTACACCCCTTAAAAAATCCCTTCCAGTAACCTAGAACCATATGAAATCTATCTGTACTCTTTTTCTCTCTACTTCAAGCTGCAGGCAAACCATGAGCAATCAAGCAATCAGTAGAAAAAGTAACCTATTAACGCCAACCCGTTAAATTACTGCCTCTCAATTTAAAGTGCTCCGATTCTACATTTTCTATGAAATGTGAGCAGCTGGGACATTAGCCTCTCAAAATGAGCACAAAGCAAAACATCCATTACTCACCTCAATTGTCTTTGCCCACAAAGGTGTACTTGGAAAATTGTGTTTGTAGACTTCATTGGCAGTAGTGTTCACATCAACAGCAGCAACAACTTCTGCGGGTATGCAACTTTCTAGAATTAAAAGAGAGAAATCTGCAAAACTACCAGACTCCAGTATTCACATTTGCTTGTTCTAGTGATAGCCTTCTTAAAATAACATGCTACAAGGGGTCCAGATTGATTTTATGAATTATTGCTAATCATCAAATTCACAATTGCAGAGCATGAAACAAATCACAATGTCCTAACAGCAATACCTAGTGCATCTAAAATAAATACTAAAGTAATTATACTTGGTGTTTTTTTTCAAGCCTCTTCTGTCCAGAACTAAGAAGAAAGACAAATCAAGTATGTGAAAAGCTGCAATATGAAACATACAGGTATTTTTATTCAGAAAATATCAGAAAATTCTTATTTATGTAATTTCACCAACAGCAAAGAGGGTCTAAGTTTCATGGGAAAAATGTGCAGGTGAATTCAGTGACCTCCTATTAAAGGCCCAATTTATACTACCTTCTCTAGTCTCCTTGACTTTCTGAACAACCATTGTAACTACAAAGTATTTTGCACAGGTACATTCACAGTAGAGCAAGCAATGATTACACCTGAAACTACAGATCAGGTATGTTAACACTGACATCTAGTGTGAAAAGCATGTCAGCTTAACAGATCAACTACCTGCATTTAAAATCTGATACCTTGTCTTCCTGTTATACAAGCACAGTGTCTAAGTGATAAAGGCAAATTTCAAACACAGGTAAGGGGATACCTCTTTCATTTATTATTTCCATTTTTTACATATAGACTTCTAATTCCCAGGAGTTTTCTTTGTGTTCTCAGCACCCTGGTAAAAATATAAATTAACTCTCTCAAATAGTTATCCCATCAAGCAAATAAGAAGGGAAAATAATACTGGCAAAAGCTGACATGGTCAGATGTCCACCCTTTCAGCAGCGCTGCCTCATTCCCTCAAAAAATAATCAGGGACTTTACTCAACCACCCTAAATGCTGGTCCATGATTCAACTGAAAAATGGTTAATGTCCATGATTTGTTGGGTCCCCTACTGTTTTCAAGGAAAGTAACTGAGACACCCTTTCAACCCAAACCATGAAAGCTATTCTTCAAGGAAAAGGAATAGAAATATTACTTTAATGCTCCCTATTCATCACTCATTCCCTTAACCCCATGATGATGGGATTTTCTCAAGTTACATGGGTAAACTGCAATTACCACAAACAAAATTATTAATAAACCTTCATGCTGTGCTCAGGTTCTAAGATGCAGAAGCAAACAATGTTATAGAAAAATACTGCCCTTCTAAATCTTGCTTTTCTTAAATTGGCTATTTAAAGAGAAGTTGGAAAAACAAGGCACAGTAAACCCCTGCCTGCCTGCCCGCTCTGTCCAGTGCCCCTGGTAATGGGTGCAGGGCAAATGGGCCTGGGGTGCCCAAGCAATAGGACCAGGGTCTGGCAGCAGCAGTGGGGGCTCCTGGGAAGCCAAATCCAGCTGCCACATCACCCCTGCCCTGCTGCCCAGCCCCACAGACTACGGTGCCCAAGAGCCACATGCGGGGATAGCAGGATGCACCAGGCAGTACCTCCGTGCTCAGAGGCTTCAAGACCAACCCACACACCACAGCTCAGGCTGTCCCACACGCTTGGGCCAGGTGGGGCCAAGGAACAGGCCATATTTTGCCCACCCCTGCCTTACAGTCACCAGCATAAGCCATAGGAGACTTTAAACTACTGTGACTTATTTCCAGCTGCCTATGGCCCCAAGGGATCATCATGGTACCTGGAATTGCCAAGGCTTAGGAAAAACCTCTCTACCAAAAATGCCACAGCTGTTGGGTACCAGGATAGGATGTTGCATAAAGGTATTATACAAGCTCTGGTTTGCTTGGGAATTCTTCTTACAAGCTGATTTAACAGCTTTCTGATAGCTTTGTAACCCTGGAACAACACAGAGCAGCTTAACCAGTGACAAGAATCTGGCCCACTTCATCTAGCAAAGAACAATCTGGGTTCTCTTCTCTCCTTTGCTGCCAGATTTCCAGACCACTGAGGAACCCCATGGGCCAGAGAGCATGACCCTACAGACAGGCCCCAGTTCCTGATCCTGGTGCACTAGGGCCTGACCCCAGTATGAGGGTAGCACAGGGCCCAATCCCAGTGCATGGGGCTAGGCAGGAGGCCAGGGCAGGCAGGGGGAAGCACGGGACCCTGATTCCCTGATCTCAGCACAGGGAGCCAGATGGAGGCATCATGGGGCCCTGGGCTTGATTCCAGTGTGTGAGGGTGGCACAGGGCTCCAATTCCTGTACCCAGGGCCTGACCCCAGCATGCAGGGGTAGTGCTAGGCTCCCAGACCCGATCCTGGCATTCAGGGATGCCACGGGGTCTAATCCTGGTGGTACAGGCCAAAAGGTTGAGCACCACTGAACTAACTCATTGGCCATTATACTTCTGTACAAATGAAGAATAATTGTCTCAACAGAACAGGCACTAGAAGACGGAGCAAAGAGAAGATTCATGCTTTAGTTTATTTAATCATCCCCTTGAGCAACAGGCACAAGATCTATTTATCAGTCTAAAAATATGGAAATGCTCATGTCATACTAACAGCCCACAAACTAAACTCCCCAAAAAACCATGGCAAAGCACTAACAGAGACATACATTGCCCTGCAGAATTTTTTTGAAAGAGTAAATGCCAGTTTTCAAGACCTGGCAATTCCACTGAGCTATAGCCATGTAGAAAACAACTTAATTTTAGGTAGGAGAAAGATGCATACGTTTTCACAGTGAGTGTAATTAACCACTGGAACAGTTTGCCTAGAGATGTTCTCCACAACCTGGAGTTTTCAGAGCAAGACTGGGTATCTTTCTAAAAGACACAGTACAGCTCAAACTGAAATTATAGGCTTAATACAGAACTTACTGGTAAGGTTTTATGGCCTATGCTGTACAGCTGGGAAGGGCAATTATTTTAGCTGGAGGGCCACTTAACAAGTTCTGGTGAGCTGTCAAGAGCGACACAAAATTTTAACAAATTATAAATAAAAAAGCAAAAATCCAAGATCTATTATAACATTTTAATTTTATTTCAAAAAATATTTTTGTCCTGATGCATGGTTTTTCGAGTAGTATGCACAGGCAAGTGCATAATATCTCAAAATAAAGTCTTACTCTTGTATACTGTGGGGGGTGGTGTTTGTGTTGCGGGCTGGGTGTACATGTGTGGGGAAGAGGGAGCCCACACACCAGGTCCTGGGAGCCAGGCAGAGATGGGGGGGAGGGAGGGAGGACAAGGGCCAGCTGGGGTTGTGTACAACAGGACTTTCCCAGGCAATGTAGTACATGTGTGTTCTGCCCCCCACATCCGGCCCATGGCTGTCCCCACGGCACTCTGCATGGGGTTGAGCCCTGACCATTCCTGCCCCTGTGCCTGCACCTACTCTGGGTTCCTGCCCCTGTGGGACAAACTGTGCCTGCACCCACTCTGGCCCCAGCCAGTACACACAGCTTCCTGCCAAGGCTGTTCCTGTTGCTGCTGCTGCTGCAGCCAACCAGGTACAGCTCAGCTGCTCCTCCTCCTGCCCCTGCTGATCTGCTCTGGGAGGGAGGCTCAGCCAGGCTGCTCCTGCCCCAGCACATGGGGCTCCAACTCCTGGCCAGCCTGGCGTGATGATCAGCCACCTGAAAGCGCTGGAGCTAGAGCCCTGTATGCTGGGGAAGGAGCCACCCAGATGCAGTTTTCCCCCCACCTGGAGCCTGTAGTTGGATGCAATTTATGCTATTTGCATAAAAAATACTTAAAGGAACATTTTCTTTTTTCATGAAAAGTAAACATGTTAGCTTCGCTGGCTTTTACTCTGTGCCTTTAAAAGGATAAACATCATGAGAAGAAGTAAACCCAGATGGTTACAAGAAGACTCATTTTATAAAAATGGGGACTAAAGTAACAAAAGTGCTCAACTGACTGATTTACCACAACTTGGAACTCACAAACATCCAGATAATCTAAACCAATTTTATGCACATCCCCAAACCACAAAATCCTTTACTTAATGTAAATTATATTCCCTTTTATTCGGATTCCCTAATTCTTAGTCTTAAAAAGGCTTTAGCCTAGAAGTATAGTTTAAAAGAACCATGCAAATCAGCCATGTCAGTGCTTAGAGGCTGCATTTTCTACTTCTTATCACACACTTCCCATAAAAAGAAATAACCAGATTTAAAAAAAAGGAATGCCCGCTCCATGCAAATAGTATTGTATCTATCTGATATGTAAATTTCAACTGATATTTAACCCTTCAAGGCTACACAGGGTCATTCAAACAAGTAAAGGGGAGGTTTGAATCCTATACAGAGACCTCTTCATCTGTCCTGACTGGAACCGCTACAAAAGAACTTCAGCCTTACTATTTATAAGTATTGTCATTTCTTCATTCAAAAGTAAGCCCAAAAGAACAGAAATGCAAATTACAACACACAATGGCACTGCTGCAACTGTTCAGCAATTCTATTTGTGATTGTATGCTATAAAAGAAAGTTTTAGCAATAAACTGAACCTTTTCGATGACAGTAACAGGAACTCCCTGAAAACTGAAAATGCCCAGAATATAAATTAAATGATTTGTAACATACTCCCAGCCTTTTCAAGCCCAGCCTTATCCAATATGGTATGATAAAAAGCAGTAAACCTGTTACATACTTCTTTGCAATATTCTGATATTTCCCAAAGGCTACATCTTAGGAATGAACAGCTCTCATAGGTTGTTGCCTTTATGCTGTGGCATATTATATTTCAAATGGATATCAGTAGGAGCTCCCCAACTTTCTCTCACACTGGTGTTTGTTAGTCACCGGAGGCTGGTCCAGGACATTTAAAGTATGTCTAGCATAATACGAGTATAATATTAGGAAGAGATCCATATAACATTTGGTGGCAATTATGCCACGTATACGAACACTAACAAATGGCTGAGCTAAAAGTAGTGACATAGACCAAATTTCAGGGTAAAAAATATCTTATACAGAATCTCTTCATTGATAGTAAAATAAAATATTGATCCTACTGCTTTTAGAAATAAGGCTATTTTAAAAAGAACTAGGGGGGAAAGAGTATCTATTACTCTTATTTTGACAATGACTTCACAGTCCCTATAATTGTGATCAAAAATGTGTTTTGTTCATACTCTCTCCCAGAAATTGAAGAATTGGTATGGGGCTAAATCCTAAAAACTGTTATATAAGCCTACTCATTGTTCTTCTTCCTTAAGATTATACGAAAGCAGAGCGGAAGGGGCCTCATGAAGTCATCTAGTCCAGTCTCCTGCTCAAGGTAGGATCATCCCTGACTAAAACCATCCCAGCCAAGTGTATGTCTAACCTGCTCTTGAAAATTTCCAGGGATAGAAATTTCACAACCCCTGTAGGTAGCCTGTTCCAATGCTTGAATACCCTCATATTCAGAAAGTTCCTCGTAATCTCCGATCTAAATTTCCTCTGACGTAGCTTGAGGTCATTGCCCCTTGTCCTGTCCTCTATAGCCAATACAAAAAGTATTATTTTCATTCTTTTTACAATTGCCTTCCAGATATTTGAAGAATATAATCAAATGTCTTGTCAGTCTTACCTTCTCCTGACTAAATACTCCTAGTTCTTTCAGCTTTCCCTGATAAATCATACTGGCCAGACCCCTAATCATTTTTGTTACTCCCTGCTGGACTCTATCCAACTAGTCCACATCTTTCCTGAAGCGCAGGGCCTAAAACTGGACACAAGACACTACATGAGGCTTCACCAGTGCGGAACAAAGCAAAAGAATCACTTCCCTTGACCTGCGACCCAGGATGCTGCAACAAGAAAACAATGGTGGCTCATACACAATTTAGGGTCCACTGTAACTCCCAGGTCTTTCTCTACAGCCACCCATTCCTCAATCTGTATCTATGCATGCCTTATTCTGCCCCAAGTGCAGGACTTTGAACTTGCCTTTGTTTAATTTAATCTGATCGACTGTAGACCATTTCTCCAGGTCATTCTGGATCCTAGCCCTACCTCCAGAGTGTCTCCAACTCCTTCCGACTTAATGTCATCAACAATTTTCCTAAGTGTGCACTCAATCCCATCCTCCAAATAATTAATGAAAATGTTAAACAATACTGAACTCAGGACAGACCCCTGGGGAACACTACTTGATACCTCCTCTCAATTAAACATTTGAGCCATTGGCAACTATTCGTTGAGCACGGTGATTTAGCTAGTTGTGTTATGTATCCTCTTACAGTACTTTCATCCAGTTTGTATTCCTTTAGCTTGTTAATGAGAACGTTGTGGGTGACAATGCCAAAGCCTTCCTAAAGTTTATCACATCCCCACCCCACCACCACATCCACAGAGCCTGTCACTGTATCATAGAAAGAAATTAAGTTGGTCAAGCATAACAGCTAAATATGTAAGCATGCAAAAAGCAGCAACCTTGCTTGTTTGTTACTCTAACACAGGGGTGTCAAACATATGGCCCACAGAGCCATGTTGTGTGGGCCTGGCAGAGAGGTCTGCCACTGAAATCTAAGGCACAGAGCCCCATTTGTGACGCGTGGGCAGCCTGGGGTGAGCGATGGCCGTGAGCCCCTGCAAATGCCATTGCTACCACTTATCCCGCTGTGTCCAGATCAGGCCCCAGGTCAGGTGAGCGCCAAGGTCTGGATACAGCCTGGCAGGCAGAGTGTGTAACACCCCTCTCACATGTGCACAGAGATTATAAAGCATGACTCAAAACCAATGTGGCCCTTATAATTAATCCCAGTTTACAGAGATATATATGCTATACCCCCCTTGTAAATTGGGATTATATAGAAATAAATAAAAGCAGGAAGCAACTGTGACTGCCTGAAACCTGAGATCCTGCTCCTGCCTTTGTTTCAAGGTAATCTGCATCATCAGATCCTCGCAGAAAGTGTGGGGCTTCATACCAGCTATGAACTGCCTGCCCAGGGGAGTTTTCCGTCCATTGACTCCTCTGTGAAATCCTATAAAATATGAACTTCCATTTCTACCCAGGAGAACTTTTACAGTCTTTTCTCCAATGCCAGATGAAGGGGGTTTGTGGCTGAAAGCTTGCAATTAAAAGAAAATCTTGTTGGTCTAATAGAAGACATCACTTCTACCACAAGTCTCGATTGCCTTTTCCTCTAGACCAACACTCATGCACACATATCCACACACACACACACACGTGCGCTTACGCTGTACTGTACGGGTGCACGTGTGCACAGAGCTGAAGCAGGAGCGAAGGGGGCTGGGGTGGCAGCTGCCCTACCAAGGCCCGAAAGCCCCCACGGGGCAAGGCACCCGCCCGCCCGCAGCTCCCACGTGGCGCGCACCTGCTGCCTGAGGGGGCCGGGGACGAGCACTCCCATTTTACAGCTGGGATTACTGAGGCTCGGAGAAGGCAGGAGGCCGCCCGGGCCGCTCAGTGGGGCGGGCCTCGGAGCTCCCCGCCCTGCCCTGCAGCGCCGTAGCGCGACCCGACCCGGGCCGGGCCGGCCCGGCCCCACTCCCGCCGCCGGCGGCCGCGGGCGCGCGCCCTGGCGG